TAACTCAACACTTATGTGAAAACAGAAAGAATCTGGTATGACTAAGGTGGGTGAGCTGGATTATGAAACAAATTCAAACCATATAGTCTAAGCACAATCATATTACAGATCTGATAAATTACTACAAGTTCCAAAGACCTCCAAGGAACTGTCTAAATTCTTTTGGCTGAAACTTTAACATCTTAATCATAAGGATGATTTTTTAAATGACATATATGAAACCATAAAGACTTCTGCATTAAAGCATTCAAATTCATCTCTCCCAATTGCCCCATAAGAGGGCAGAGCAGGTTTCGTCCCCACAGGACAGATAAGAAATTATTAACAAATGTTTACCCAGATGCTATACAATGCAGCATGAGAGAGATGAAGAGATACATGGAGGTATAGGAGCCAATGTCACATGTAAGTCAGAAAAATTATTCACCTGGACACTAGTAATTGGCTTTTCAGGCTTTGTTGTTACTGCCATCAAGTAGGTTCCGACTCACAGCAATCCTACGTACAACAGAGCAGAACACTGCTCAACCCTGCACCATCCTCACAATCACTGCTATGTTTGAGCCCACTGTTGCAGCCACTGTGTCAATCTAAGCTCAGAAACTCCAAATCTGGGAAGAAAAATCAGCTCACCTGAACGTTGAAGAACTGCCGGGGTGTCACATCTGTGTAGGTTCCAAAAACTAGAATGACAAGAAAGAATGACAGGGTGCTTGCTGCACTTGCATCACTCACTCTATTCCTATCATTTAACTGCATTTTAATTACAGAGTACTGAAACATCATAAAGGCAGACTCAGAAACCAGAAGTCATAGTAGGGCAGGAGAGTAAGACAAAGACAACCTATTGCAAAGACTATACTGGGCTCTTGTTTTCTGGAAGAAGGAAAACAACAAACAGGGAAAAAAGAGGCAATTTTCCAAGAAACAATCAAAACAGAATGGTTTAAAAGTGGTATGAGGAACAGAAGTCTTGCATTAGGCAATCATGGAGCACCCTTAAAAGACAGCCAACCTGGGGGCTCACCTCTGTACTGGTAAAGGTGGGTGCCTGTAATTGGGCGCCGCCACAGCTTAAAGTGTCTCTTATCCATCACCATTTCCCATGGCTGCTCTTTGCCCCCTGAATCTTCATTGCCTTCTGTTTGGGATTTTGGTTCTGGGGAATGGTGCTCAACTCCTGAGCTCTGAAACACACTTGACATTTCCTCTAACCGTTTCATCTCATCAATGGATCTGGAAAGGAGAAAAATATGCATGATGCAGGCCCTGCTTTCCCTGGAAAAGAAACAGTTTTTATTTTTTAAATGTTGGCCATACAGTTTTAAGATTTTCATTTGCCATTCTCTTACAACAGCAAATATCATCATACTGAAATATAAAAATTCTCTTTGGCAGCTGGATACTGGATTTAGAAAATAGACAATATATTTTTAAATTATGATTAATATGATATTTCCACTGTTTTTTATGCAAATAATACTTTGAGGTCTAATTTACACAAAGTAAAACATCTTAACTAAAATTCAGTGGATTTTGACAAATACAGACACCTATGCAACCAAATCCCAAATCAAGATACAGAATACTTCCAGCACTCTCTAGAAGATTCTAGGTTTCCTTCTGACTCTTCCCAATAAAACCCCCCTTCCCTCCTCAGGCAACCACTACTCTGATTGCTTCATCATAGATTAGTTTCACTTGAACTTCATATAAATGGAATCAAACAAAGTGTATTCTTTTGTAACTATCACTCAATGTTTTTGAATTTCATCCATATTGTGTAGTTCTTTATGTTCCTTAGTATCCCATTATATGAAAACACATTTGTTCATTCACTCACTCACTGACAGACATTTACATTGTTTCCAGTTTTTTTACAACTTTTATTGTAAGTTTTATTACAACTGAAGCTGATTAAGATTATTCTTATAAAAGTCTTTTTGTGGACATATACAGGCATCACACCAAAAACCAAACTCATGCCGTTGAGTTGGATCCTACTCATAGCAATCCCTCCTTGGGCTTCCGAGATGGTATCACTACAGAAGTAGATTGCCCAATCTTCCTTCTGAGGAGTGGCTGGTGGGTCTGTACCTGCCACACCCTTCTAGTTAGCACTCAAATGCCTTAGGCACTATGCCACCAGAGCTTGCTATACAGGCATACCTTGGGAGATACTTCAGGTTCAGTTCCAGACACCACAATAAAGCAAGTATTGCAATCAAGCAAGTCACATGAATATTTTGGTTTCCCAGTACATATGAAAGCTATGTTTACAATATACTGTAGTCTATTAAGTATGCATTATGAAAAAGTATAAAATATTATGAGAATAACGAAAATATGACTCAGAGACACAAAGTGAGCATGTGCTGTTGGAAAAACATCACCAACAGACTTGCTCGATGCAGGGTTGCCACAAACCTTCTTTTTAAGGAAAAAAGAAAATTACCTGTGAAGCACAATGAAGTGAAGTGCAATAAAACGAAGTATGCCTGTACAGGTAGTCCCCCTGCCTTATGATGTATTTGAGTTACAAATAACTATATTTAGGACTGTCCTTTTTTTTTTGGTACATCTTATCATTAATCGTATTTAGTACATATAATGCTGTAGCACATAATTTGCTGATGTTATTTTCATGCCAACACCCAAAGACAAATACAGATCAGATTTATAGATACTGGTAAGAAAAAGGCAATAATAACTTTTAAAAAATAAGGTACTCAACTTACAGCAGAACCAACTTACAAGGAAGTCGTCAGGATAGAATCATGTTTTAAGTCAAAGACCACCTGTATTTTCATCTCCCTTGGTTAAATATGTAGGAGTGGAATTTCTAGGTTATAGTGTATTTAACTTTATTAGAAATTGCCAAACAATATTTCAAAGTGGTTATGCCATTTTATGCTCCTCCCAGTATCGTATAAGAATTCTGTTTGTCCCACATCTTTGCTGAAACTTGCCACTGTCATTCTTTTTAATTTTAGGCCATTCTGGTGAGTAATAAGCAAGAACAGAGAATTGAAATAAACCACTGATGATCATTAAAAAACAAAACCACACTAATTAATCGAACCATTAGGTTAACTCAAGTGGTCTTTCCTGCATAACTGAACCAACATTTAAAGTATATACTGTGTCTAACTACCACAGTGCCTGGCATATAATAATAAATGCAACAAAAGAATATATAGATGATACCACATGGGAAACCAAACAAGATGCTCTATGCCTTCAGGAAGTTTACAAATGAGCTGTGGAATTCACAGCTAAACTAAACCTCCCCCCAAAATTGTTTTAAGTGGGAAAAAAAAATCCAGTAATGAGCTATTTGAAAAAAACTGGTACAAAACTTAAACAAGAAAATATTCTCTGAAATGGACACATATTTTATTCAACTCAAGCCCCCAGTTGTTGCTATTGCTGGGTGCTATCAAGTCATCTCCAACTCATGGTGACCTTATGTATAACAGAGCTAGGCAATGACGACTGGTCAAGTGCCATCTACATGATCTTTGATATGCTTGAGTCCATCACTGTAGCTATTCTGTCAGTCCATCTCATTGAAGATTTCCCTCGCTTTCTCTCTCTAACTAACAAGATGTCCTTTTCTACTGACTGGTCTTTCCTAATAAGGTGTCCAAAATAAGTAAGCCAAAGTCTTGCCATCCTAACTTCTAAGGAACATTCTGTTTGTACTTCTTCTAAGACTGAAACCAAAATTTACTATGTAGATTCTTCCAAAATACTGGTCTGAAAGGAATGCAGTGTGTAGGGCAAAGGCTTTAAAATATTTCAAGGACAACAGTCGGTCTTCTAATGTAATTATACACCACCTGATTCAATCCTCTCTGCACACACAGAAAACACAAAATGTAACACTGAAATGGAAAGAACTAGAACTTCTGAGGGGTTATTTCTGGAACACTGAGAGCTAGATACAAAGACTCATTCCAAAGCACTAGGTTACTGCTAAGGCTATAGGGAACACTCACAGTGACCCCACCGACACAGAACTGCCCCACAGGGTTTCCAAGGCTGCAAATCTTTAAGGAAGCACTGCCACATCTTTCTTCAGAGTAGCTGATGAGTTTGCACCACTGACTTTTTGGTTAGCAACCCAAGTATTTAACTACTGCACCACCAAAGATCCCTAGAAGGCACTCAAAATATGATGGGGAAGAGCTGCCTCCTCAAAGTTAGTTTTTTTTAAATTGAGTTGGTCTTAATGATGTGGCTGAAGTAAAGCTTTTGGGACCTTCATTTGCTGATGTGACATGACTCAAAATGAGAAGAAACAGCTGCAAAATCCGTAATAATCAGAATGTGGAATGTATGAAGCACGAATCTAGGAAAACTGGAAATTGTCAAAAATGAAATTGAATGCTTGAAGATCCATATCCTAGGCATTAGGAACTGAAATGGACTGGTATTGGCATTTTGAATCAGCTACTCATACGGTCTGCTGTCCCAGGAATAATAAATCAAAGAGGAATGGAGTGGCATTCATTGTCAAAAAGAACATTTCAAGATCTATTCAGAAGTACAACAACGGCAGTGATAGGGTAATATTCATACACCTACAAGGAAGACCGGCTAATACAACCAATATTCAAATTTACACACCAACCACTAATGCCAAAGATGAAGAAATTGAAGATTTTTACCTATTTCTGCAACCTGAAATTGATCAAACATGTAATCAAGATGCGCCGATAATTACTAGTGATTGGAATTTGAAAACTGGAAACAGAGAATCAGTGATAAGAAAGTATGGCCTGGATAACAAAAACAACATGGGAGTTCACTTTTGAAAACCAACAACCTATTCATTGCAAATACCCTTCTTCAACAACATAAATTGTGCCTATACACGTGGACCTCACCAGATGGAATAAATACGACTCAAATCCACTACATCTGTGGAATGAGACAATGGAGAAGCTCATTATCATCAATAAGAACAAAGCAAGGGGCCAAATGCAGAACAGATAATCAGTTACTCATATACAAGTTCAAGTTGAAGCTGAAGGGAATTAAAAGTCCACAAGAACCAAACTGTGACCTTGAATACATTCCACCTGAATTTAGAGACCATCTCAAACACAAATTTGACACACTGAACACAAATAACCAAAGATCAGACAAGTTGTACAATGATATCAAGGGCATTATATATGAAGAAAGAAAAAGGTCATTAAAAAGATCCCACAAAAGACCAAAATGGATGTCAAAAGAGACTGAAACCGGCTCTTGAACATGGAGTAGCTAAAGTAAATGGAACAAATGATGACGTAAAAGAGCTGAACAGATTTCAAAGAGTGACTTGAGAAGATAAAGTAATTATAATCAATGTGCAAAGACCTGAAGTTAGGAAACCAAAAGAGAAGAACACACTCAGAATTTCTCAAGCTGAAGGAATTGAAGGGAAAACAAAACCTCAACTTGAAATACTGAAGGATTCTATGGGCAAAATGTTAAAGAACACAGGACATATCAAAAGAAGATGGAAGGAACCCAGCCATTCCATTACTAGGTATATACCCTAAAGAAGTGAGAGCCAGGACAAGAACAGATATATGCACATCCTGTTCATCGCAGCACTATTTACAATAGTCAAAAGATGGAAACAACCTAGGTGTCCACTGAAGAATGGATAACCAAACTACGGTACATACACACAATGGAATACTATGCAACCCCAAAGAATAATGTAGAATCGGCAAAATATCACATAACATGGATGAACTTGGAGGACATTACGCTGAGTGAAATAAGTCAATCACAAAAGGACAAATATTGTATTAGTCCATTATTATAAAAAGTAAAGGTTTACATATGAAAAGAAATTGTCTTTGTTGGTGGGAGGGGAGGGGATGAAACACTGTTAGATACGTAAAGACAAGTATTGACTTGGGTGAAGAGAAGGGCAATGTATCAAATGTGAGTGATCAACACGGTGGCATTGAGAAAGACGAAGACATAGAGAGGTACATGTACAGGGTTGGCAGACAATGTTTCTGCAAGTGTTTGGGTATGTTCTGTAAGAATTCCCAGGTATATAGTAGAACTGACAGGGACAAGGTTGTAGTCACTTCTTGGCCACAGCCAGCTACCCAGAGGGAGCAAGTAGTTGGACCTGTGGGCTTGGGACCAGAGTCAGAGGGGACATCAAGCTCAAGTGGCATAACATACTACACAAAATATTGTTCCACATCTGACTTTGGCGA